TGCAGCTCCTCCCAGAATGTCGTTCAGCAGATATGGAAAACAGATTTGGGATACATTTCTGATAGAGATTCTTATGGTATACATCTCTTAACGGATCGCCACTGGGACTCCGCATCCTTCCCTTGTTAGTTGAAGTGACGGTTAAGGCGAGATGCGTGCCGTCAGTGGTTTTAGTCCAAAATTCCTAATCATTTTCCCATATCTGCGAAGTTTTGAGCCTTTGAAATAAATTTTTTACCTTCCCTCGATAACTGATTATCCGCTCAGTAGTGTCAGTTGGTGTAACTCTACTGTTTGTTAAGCGTTTTGATGAGGGTTCAAGATCTTTTATTGTAACGTTTTCGTATTTTTCGAAAAAGCGTGTCCATAAGCAATTTTGTGAATGACTTTGCAGTGGATGGCTTTAATCAAAATTTTCAGTTATAAGAATGTGATGAGGACAATTTTAATTTCTATAAAATATATTCTCTTCAAGGAATGTTTGAGCTTATCTTACTGGTCATAGATCAAGCGATCCTCTTATTGATAAACGTACATCATGTGAGCGGCGTAGCGGAAGTTCCAAAAGCCTCGCTTCCTATCTCTTCGTCTGGAGCTTCCATTGGAGCGTGTTTAAACGTCCTTAGGGGATCTAACGCTTTCCAAATGCTAGTCTCTGTCATCACCTATTGCTCCGCCTAATACCTGTCATCAGACTAGGTTGTGCCAGCCCAATAAGCAGACATGCAAATATATATTATCAGGCCAATATGGAAGATAACAAATCCAATACTGGCGTAGGAATAAACTCGCACCATTAGGAGAAACAGAAATTTAAAAGTTCCCTTCAAGACTTTTGGAGAAATTCAGTGCATGACATTTTGAAAAACATTAATTTCATATTTTCATTTTATTTGATTTCTGTGTTATTTATTGAGCTTGCGCAGCCCAGTCTGAAGAAGGCATATGCGGAGCAATGGACGGAGCTGAAGCTTAACCTTGGAAGGCGTTGCTTTCCTCCAGGACGTATAATTATTTGCCTTAGGGAAAAGCGGCGAGGCTTTGGGAACTCCTGTACTCTTTCTTCACGAACAAGCAAAAAACTTCCAGAAACGGGGGGTAAAGTTGGAAATAGATAAGTGATGAATTTGATTGTGCAAGTGCTTTTCAGATAATTGTCTCATCATAATCATGGTGTATGTTTAATTTCGTTTGAAAAAAGTCTTGATAGCTTATGAGAGATATTCATGAAATGTTAGGTTAAAGTAGCTAGGTGATACTGGTTTAAAAGATAAACTTTTGTAATAAGGGCATTAGGTTGGTTTAGAACAGTTAAAGGTAAAGGGACTTATTCAGTTGTTAAATACCACTTATGGACGCATGAATAAATTTTTTAAAGGAAAGGTTGGAATGGTCCTTTGTGGAAGGACTCGAACGTGCACCATCTTGCTTTCAAGTGGCGAATTTACCATTATACACTGCACTGCATGAACGAATCATCGGATTTCGATGAAAAACAGAGTGAAATCATTTTCTAAAGCCCATAAATTTTTTAGCGAAACGCTTTGGAGATATAGGATAGTGGAATTTTCTTCGACTAAGAATTCTCCTGTAAAATGCATCAGTTCCTCTCAAATCAGCACATTAAGAAGTGAGGGGGTGCTCACTATCTATTTGCACACTAGTGCATCATGTCTAGAGTGATCAGTCTTCTTTTCCTCATCCACAATTTACGGGTTATTATTTCAGGACAACAAATCCTTCTCGAGTTGTTGAAGATTTCCCAGCGTTACCAGCTCCAGTTAGACAAACTCCGACAACATCTGTTTGGTCAAAGAAAAAAGTTTCTAAGGTATGGTATTAGCACCTATTTTGTCGAGAAAAATTTCGAAAATTTAGTCGGTTATCGTGGGTTGTAAGATGCCTAATAACACCAAGCAACTACCGCAACCAGACCTTTGGCCGGATATATCTACCACCACTCCAGCGCGAGAGATCGAACCAGAGCAGTGGCATGAGGTCAACTGAATTTGATGGAATTTATGATTTAATTTTGTTTACAAGTAATATTTAGGTGCCACAAAAACCGCGAAAACAAGAGAAAAAGACGCGGCAAAACAAACAAAAATCTTCTAAGATCAGCAACAATTTTGAATCAGAAGAGGTCGACTCATCTTCTGAAGACCAAGTGCATCGCGATTTAGCTGACAGTAACGGTTCCGATGCAGGGAAGGTGGCACAGCCAAGTGAGAGAAGTCAAAAGCAAGTCCCACAACAAAAAGCTGCTAATGTGCTCGTCAAGAGCAAAGAGAAAAAGAGCGTTACCAACAGTTTCGACCAAGATTCCAT